TTTCCTTCCCCCAACTCTCCAACCCAAGGGGAAAAGGGATTTTTCCTATGGTTTGTGATATTGATACTGATTCATATGTGACTAATGCAGTGCCAGTAGCCGTTTTCATCCTCGGAGTGGCTGCTGGGCTTGAGGTCATGAGCTGTAGAATGCTTTTGATTATGTCAGTCATAAGCCTTGGTGTTGTAGTTGCTTCTTATGGTGAAATAAGTATCAGCTGGGTTGGTGTTGTTTACCAAATGGGAGGTGTAGTTGGAGAGGCCCTCAGGCTCATCTTTATGGAGATATTTGTTAAAAGGAAGGGTTTGAAGCTCAATCCTATATCCATCATGTACTATGTCAGTCCCTGCAGGTGATTTTGTTATCTATTCATCGTCTTGTGTTTGTTACTTTTTTAATTTTATTATTACCTTTTTTTTATTTTATTTTTATTCCTGGCAGTGCTCTCTGCCTTTTCATTCCATGGCTATTTTTGGAGAAGCCAATAATGGATGCAAATGGATTATGGAATTTTCCACCTCTTGTTCTCATACTCAACTGCCTTTGTACTTTTGCCCTCAATCTCTCAGTTTTCCTTGTCATCTCACATACTAGTGCGCTCACCATTCGAGTTGCTGGGGTGGTGAAGGATTGGGTTGTTGTGCTAATGTCTGCCCTGATTTTTGCTGATACAAAATTGACACTAATCAATTTGTTTGGCTATGGAATAGGTAAAGTCTTAATTCCTCAGTCTGATTACTCTAGTTTTAAATAACATACTTGAGAGGTGGTTCAATTTGTTAAGTTTCTTTTTAAGCTTTCTCAAAATGAGCATATAACAATGCTAAGAGTTTTTTGTGCAGCCATTGCTGGTGTAGTAGGATATAACAATCATAAATTGAAAAAAGAAGCCTCACAAGGAAGTTCAAAAGAGGCACAATCTGAGGAATCAATACCTATGGTCTCTTCATCCTCTAAAAAATAGCTATAAGACTTGCTTGGTAAGTGATTTATGCTTATGTTATCGCTAGACTTGCCGAACAATGCAAAGGTCAAAATTGTCAAATTTGGGTCTTAGTTTGGGAGCATTATTAAGGTCTATTTAATTGGTCCATTTTTTTATTATCAAATTCCTCGACTTTTCTATCTAATTCCTAAACTTTGATTAGCTTACTATTGCGACTTTGCTTACAATTGTCTGTCATATATATTCAGCTTAGCATTATGAATCAAATAATTTATGTATTTTAAATATGAATTAAGTTTAAATTTTATGTCATGAGTGTACCATTTGGTGATTTTATGTATGTAAATCACCAAATAGTACACCCATGATAGAGTATACAAATATTTTGAAAACTCACAACAAAAGGAAATATTGTCATGAATAATACGACTTTTGCCCGGTCTACCAAAAGAAAAAAACGATCTTTTGATTATTTCCAAATAAAATGACTTTTGACACTGATCTTCCATAAATAGGACGTAAACGGTTGGTAACCTGCCTAATAAGTTAAGTGTGACACGTGTCGCTTTGTAATTGGTGGTTTTTTTTAATAATAATTTCTTATTAATAAAATTAATTTTAATTAAAAAAAAACCCCAAAGCCCCCACTCCATAACCCGGCTCCCCACCCCACCTACCACCAGCCCGGAACCCCTTCTCCGGTCACCTGCCCTACCAAACCCCCACCAGCCCGAAAAACCTATCCCACTACTAGCACAAAACCCTACCTCACCAGCCACGCACCATAATTGAAACCCCGAAAAGGGGGTAGGGGACTAGCGAGAGATTGGGCAATCTGGCGAGGTTCAGGGGTTGGCTGGTCTGACAAGGGTCAGGGTTGCGCGGTAGGAAGGCGAGGGTCGGAAGGTGGCTGGTGGCGTTGTGAAGGGCTGAATGGGGGATGGTGGTCCTGCCTTGCTGAAAGGGAGGCAAAACGGGGAAGGGTGGTGAAGGGGGGTGCTAGACATGGTTTTGGGCTGGTGGTAGGGTGCGGTGGGGGTTTCAGGCTGGTGTGGCTGGAGAAGTGTTTCAAGCTGGTGGGGTTTGGGTAGATGGGGTGGTCGGTGAAGAAATAACGGGCAGGTGGTGTTAAACGGGGAAGGAGGGTTGGAGGGGAAAGAAGGTTTTTTTTTTTTTTTTTTTTTGAAATCATATCATTAAAAAAAAAAAGTTGAAATTAAAATTACAAAAATTCTAATCAATTATAATGTAACACGTGTCCTTCCTTAACCTATGAAACAAGTTACCGGCTTTTTTTTATCCTATTTATGGAAGATCAGTGTCAAAGGTTGTTTATTGGGGAATAATCAAAAGGTCGTTTTGTTTTTGAAAGACCGGATAAATGTCTTATTATTCCCGACGATTTTCCAAAGTAATAAAGAAAATATATGTAAGTGTATAGAATTAATTTGTATTCCAATATCGAACCTGTTACAAGTGATGTTACAAGTGTCGGATTAATGGCTTTAAAAGCCTTGTTGAAGATTCCCTTGGGATTCTTTCTGTGTTATTATGATGAGTTGTTTAAACAACTTTTGTAACCCCCTAATTGATGGTGCATTATGAAGGTTTTAGTATATTTATGTTGGAGGTTACTAACTATTCAATCGATATTCTCAATTGATTGTTGTGAGACTTGTAACATCTTTTGGGGTTACAAGTAGTCTATATAAAGCCATTTTTATGGTTGGTAAGTGATACATTACATGATGTTGTGTTCTTCTTGATTATTGAGCAAAAGCTTGTGTGTCTTCAATTCCTCACCCTTAAGTACATGAGTGTGTGGGAGTGATGTTAACCTGGGGAACGAGACGGCCATAACGTTTTGTACCTTGGACGGGCCGAATCTCGTATTCAAGGCAGTGGTTTTTCCACGACATCAGATACCCTAAATTTAAAAATCATATTTGTAATTAATCCTTCCTATTTTATTCATCTCCACTCTTTATTTTTAGCCTTGATATAGCCTATATTTCCTACAACAGGTTAATACAACAGATTCCGTATTCAAAAGATGATTTATTTTGTCACACTTTCAACAAATTTTCGTTATTCTTGTGTTAATGTGGATTGAGGAATGATTTATATGCACTAGGTCAATTATATATTGTTCTCCTGCTAGCCTCTGGTACAGAGTATAGTAGAATTCTCTTTAGTTGGGTGAAAATAGAGGAGCCAGATCTATGGCTTGCTTTGCTGTTTGTTGCTAGTGTTTAAGATTTTTTATCCTCTTCCATTGGAGCAGCACATCTAATTTTATATAACATAAATCTAACATTTTAATCAGTTGCTGCCATTAATTGGCTTTTTAAACTGCAGGTACCACTCTTCAGAAATTCTAAGATTGTCGCAACGAAATTTACTTTTGACACATTTAAAGCATGTAGCTTATCGTGTCTGGTAATACCCACACAAAAACTATGAACTGTGGTATGAGCTGTGGAACACATGCGAAATTCTGATCTATCTGCATCACAAGAAGACCGCAGCATTATCACTTATTTTAGAATGATACATTTGCCTTGGGTTTGGAAGGGCATGATTCTGCTGTGGAACCGTGATCATCTTGTTTGATTTTTCTTTACCGGTGACTAATAATTATTGAAGTCGTCAATGAGTACATTGCTGATTGCTGTATAGAGTCTTGGAATTCAAGCTTTGTATTATAGAAGATTAGTCAAGCAGTGGAGCGGTGACATACACTGTGATTGAGTGACACTTAAATTATAAGTAACATATACAAATTGATGCCTTAAAAAAAAAAAAAAAAAAGTGTCACCATTTTTTTTTTTTTTTTGTTAAAATTTTATTACCAAAATGAATAGTTGTTACAACTTACAAAAAGGAAAGTTGTAACTCTCCAAAACTACAAAAGCCTTCAAAGAAGGCACACAACCTCCTAACCTTCCCTAATCTTCATAGAGGCCACCTTCTGGGAAGTGTGCCTCTTGAAGAGAAGGGAGCTAAACTGAAGCAAGCTTCTGGCACCTTCTAGGAAGGGTACAGAACCAAACTTCAGTTATGACAAACAAAGAACAAACAAGAACAATAATCTATACAGGAGAAAGCTAAACCAAACAAAACCAAACTTGTAAGCTATGTAGCCATTTACAATGCTTCCTTTGCCACTTGCTGTTAATCATCTGCTTGCACCTTCTTACAACCTCAGCCTGGATAATCCTGCACACTGCTCTAGGATGGATGACAACCTTTAGCCAGAAAGCCTTGTTTCTCACAAACCAAATGTGATACACTACTGCAATAAGGGCTGCAAGACACACTTTCTTTTTAATCGGATTCTGTATCTAGTCTACCCACTGTTTCCAAGATACATCTATATCAAACATGGTTTCAGGGATTCCCAGCCACTCACTGATGCCTCTAATACACTTCGTGTTGTATGCACAATCAAAGATTAAATGTTTTCTGTCTTCAACAGCATTGCCACATAGAAAACAGGAGTTGTCCTAACAAACACCCCATTTAGCAAGCATAGCCTTTGTCTTTAGCCTGTTGTGAATAGCTAGCCAGAGGATAAAGGACTGCTTGGGAATATTGTACTTGTTCCAAACCCAAGGAGTCCAATCAACCTCAGCCTGAGTCCCTTGAAGCCATTTATAAACAGTTGGAATACTATACTTGCAACTCAACCAGCTTTCACTATGGAACCCCTCTTTCAACCTTTCTTTAACTATACATAACTTCTTCCAAGCCCACCCTACACTTTTCTTAGGAATATAGTCCCACCAATCACTTTTCTTGATATACACTGCATGGACCCATTTTACCCATAATGAATCCTCCTTTTGGGCTATCTTCCAAACATATTTCCCAAGGGCTGCCTTGTTCCAAGTCTCACAGTCCCTCATACCAAGTCCACCTTCCTTCTTGGCTTTACAAACCCAATCTCATGACATGGGAGGGGCCTTCCTCCTGCACTTCCATTCCATAAAAAAGCCCTGCAAATTTGAGTTATTCTTTTGACCACCCTAGCTGGGAGCAGGACACACTATGACTAGTAAGTATGGAGGCTAAGGAGAACAGTATTGACTAGCAAACATCTGGCTGCATAAGAAAGGTTCCTGCTGGACCAACAGGTAATCCTAGCCAACATTTTATCAATCAAGCTGTCATAATCACTATTAGATAGACTTCTTACATTTAGAGGGATACCAAGATATTTGAAAGGTGTGCAACCTTCAACAAACCCTGAAACCCTCAAGATTTCTTGCTTCACAACTCTTGCAACATTCCCAAAGTATATGGCAGTCTTCTCAGCACTGGCCTGTAATCCAGAGCACTTCTCAAAAGTACTCAAAGCTTTAACCAGGAGGGACACATACTTCTTATCACCATAACAGAACAGTATCAAATCATCAGTAAAGGCTAGATGATTCAGGTTTAGCATCTTGCACCTAGAATGAAACTTGAAGCTTCTCATGCTACCCACTTTCCTTAAGAGCCTAGAAAGATATTCCAAGACAATCACAAAAATGAGAGGGGACATGGGGTCACCCTGCCTAATGCTTTTCTTACCCTTAAAGAAGCCATTCAACCCTCCATTAATCATTTAAGAGAAGGAGGGAGAAGAAATACATTGCATAATCCATCTAACAAACTCAGCAGGGAATTTCAGAGCAGTCAACATATCTCTAATGAAATCCCAGTTAATGGAATCATAAGCCTTCCTAAGATCTACCTTGATAGTGCATCTAGGAGCCTTTTGCTTGTCTTTGTAACCCTTTAGTACATCCTGACAAATAAGTATATTGTCCAGAATGGACCTTCCTGCCACAAAGGCACTTTGAACTTCACTTATCAGACCAGGCAAAATCTCTTTCAACCTAGAGCAGATCATCCTAGCTATAACCTTGTATAATACATTACAGCAGGCAATTGGACGAAATTGACTCACTTTTGATGCATTTCCCACCTTGGGCACCATAGTCAGAATAGTTGTGTTAACCTGGCTTAAGAGTTTACCATGTTGAAAAAAAATCCAGTACAGCTGTAGAAATGTCATTACCAACAATGTGCCAAGAAACTTTGAAGAACTTGCTTTGTCCCACAAAGTTGTGCCTGTTTTGAGTTTTTTTTTATGGGAATGAAGGAATTGGAAATTCAAATAATTAGAATACATTTTGTGTTATTTTTGTTGCATGTGTATGTATTTTATTAATCTCTTCGTTTTTTTTAAATTATTACACTTACCGAATGTCATCGTTTTTTTAAAATGCTACACTTCCATCTATTTATACTATATACTAAAATAATCACCAGACTTGCCCCAAAAGTACACATGTTATATCCATAACAAAAAATCTCTACCTATAAATACCTCATTAATCCCCAAATTTTTCCTCACACAAAAGGTTAGTCTTATTTTCTTTTTCCTTTTTTTTCCCTTTCCTTTTCTTTCTTTCTTTCCCCTCCTTTCATGTGAAACCCATCCTTATACCGCCAGCCACCTGCTGTCCGCCGGATTTTGGCACCGCCACCCCCTGACTGTCGGCAAACCACCAGCTCCCAGTCAACTACCTTGGTTTTCCTCTCCTTACTCCTTTTGTTTTTTTTTTATTAATTGCTTATTAATTATTAAATTGTTTTGGGTTTGAGTTTATTGTTTGAAATTGATTTAATTAGTATCAAAATTTTATTTTGAAGATAATAAAAGTTATAATTTCAGATTATTATTGTTGATTTAATTTTCAGATTTTGTACTTTTAATTTATTTAAATTAGGATTTTTGGGTTCTTATGAGCAACTTAATTGGGGCTTTTGTACCTAATGTATTTCTAATCATCAATTAAGCATAAAAACATGTTTTTAGAGAAGTATTAAGAAGTTTTTAATCAAATTATATTGCTGGAAATTTGTTTGCGTATTAACATTAAATTGTTGGTTGTCTTCTAGGAGGTGAATATTCCCTAGGAAGATTTTAAGTGATTAAAAGTGGCACAAAGAATTGTTTTCACGAGGTATGTACATGTCTACTTCGTTGTAAGTAGTATCATGTTTTGGTACCAAAAGGAAAAGAATTTAGTTTCATGTTTAGAGAACACTTGAATGGAAATTGTTTGGTTATACATTTAATTAATGCATGTGCTTATGTTTATGAGACATGTTTTGGTGAATTGATTATGTTTGTATGGAATTATGGATGCAAGCATGTTGAAGTATATTGGATTAATTGTTTTATGGAAAATTGATACAAGCAAATTTAATTGGTTTGATTTATTGACCACATTAAGATTATTAAAGGATTGGAATTGAATGGTTTAATTGGAATGAATTTATTAATTATTCCATGAAGTTATTATTATTTTATTTACTAGTTTTTTCCTCGTGCCACGCACGGTTACATAATAATAACACATGTAAATCATAAAATTAAAGTCAACTAAAATAAAGTTAGTTTAAATGGAATGAGTTATATAACATTTTTTTTTCTTTTCTTTTTTTTTATAAATTTGAATTCATTAAATGTCTACCATTAAACCTCTTTTGTTAGATACTTCCTCTGTTTCTATTTAGTTGCCACGTTCAATTAAGGCACACATATTAAGGAGAGGGGAGAGAATGAAAGAGAATGATAAAGCAAGTGGGGTACACTAAAAAAGCAAGGTATAAAACTTACCTAAAAAGGAAACGTGTCAACTAAAAATAAACTTCCTAAAAAGGAATACGTGTCAGCTAAAAAGAAAACGGAGGTAAGTACATATAAATAAATATATATATATATATATATATATATATATATATATATATATATGTACATATGTATACATATGTACATATGTATACATATGTACATATGTGATTAGGGGATTTTGCTCCCACCAATCGGAATGCGCCACGTGGACCAATCAGGTCCTGCCAAGTGTCCCCTAGTTGGAACTGTCAGGGCTTGCCACGTGGCACGCGCTTATTCGTCCACCTTGGACCTGTTATGTCACGACATGTGGCATACTCCATGCCTAATGGAGAAACCGGCCACCCAGGCCCAACTTTCGAGGGAAGCCCAATCGGCCCTAGGTTAACCTAAACCTAGGATGGGCACGTTTTCCAAGGTTATAAATACCTCCCTTAATCCTCATTAAGGGGGAACACATAAACATTACGGAAAAAACACATTAATTACACACAGTAATAACCGGCTGATCTCGCTAACAAAGCAGATTACCTACATTAATCACTCTCACCTAGAGAGACCTAATTACTTTAATTTCCGCATTAATTACTCCTTAATCAGGTACTAACTTGACCGTTGGAGGCGGAGCTCACAGGAGTCTCCGTTATTTTGCAGGTACAGGCGTCCGGTTCCAGTCTCGGAATTGTAACTCTCCCGTAGGACATCAGAAAACCCCGAAACATTTGGCGCCGTCTGTGGGGAGAGTACTTCTGAGATGGCATCCAAGTCTGTACCGACTCCTGAAGAGAGGCGTCCCCTAGACGACCCTCAAGTTCAGTCGGACCATGACACCGAAAGTGAATTTGAAGTTGAAGCTCATACAGCTTCAGACGGGACCCTAAGGGCCCGACGTACCCGTCATACCGAAAGGAGGGAACGGGAGCATCTTCAAACAGGAAGCGAGCCAGCAGGCGCACCGCCTGTTCGGCAACAGCCGACTGATGGGTCTGCTCCCATCACAAGGAACGAACTCATGACCTTCATGAGGGACTTCAAGGGAGAGATTCAAGAGTTGATCAACAAGAAGCCGCCTGCTCCAGTCAAGGAGCAGTCGGCCAAGAAACCCTCCACTTCACTGAAGAGGAAGCCAGTTCAAGGGCGAGAGGCGACTCCTCATCCTAAATCTAGGAAGCGGGAGCCACCTGCCCTTGATTTCACAAAATTTCGTTATCCTACAGGAAATAGGAAACCTGTTCGTCATATTCAGGCGGACGGGTCGAAGAAAACATTCACAGATGCTCGGCTACTGCTAGAGCAGAAGAAGAGTGACCGATTGTCAGAGTCGGCCTCTACTTCAAACTTTCAAGACAGTTTGCGAAATGCCTCGATGAGGCATACTCAGTCGTACCATGAGAGTCAGTCAGGCGGCACCTCCCGTCAGTCCGGCTTTCATAGTACCCAGGCGGTACCAAACTTACCATTTGTGCCGCAACAACAGTATTTTTTGCAGCCACCTCCATTTGGTGGACCTGCAGCAAAAAACGTCCAACCTATGGACTGGCAGCTACGGTTGCTTAGACTTGGTGAACAGCCGTCGGCCTTCTCCAAGGAAATTACTGAAGCCGCTCAGCCGGCCAAAGTGAAAAATGTACTAGTAGGCGCCTATGACGGCACTACTAACCCAGAAGACCATCTGATGGCATTCACCAACCTGATGTACCTTCAAGGGTTGGATGATCCCACTTGGTGCAAGTGTTTCCCAGCGACTCTCAAAGGAATCGCACAGCAATGGTTCGACAACCTGCCGACTGGTTGTGTAAATAGCTTCAGGACGCTTGCTTACTTATTTGCCTCCAACTTCGCCATGAACATCCCTGCGAAGAAAACGACCCTTGATTTGGGAACAATTCAGCAGGGCGAGAAGGAGGGGCTTCGTTCTTACATCAGGCGGTTTAACCTGATGAGAATACAGATTCAAGGGTTACCGGATGAGGTAGCTTATACTGACTTTTTCAGAGGTCTCAAAGACGGGTCTACCTTCAAATTTGGTTTGGTTCGAAAAAGGGTGGCGACTCTTCAAGAGGCCTTGATTGAAGCAGAAGCCTATATACAGGCGACTGATCTTTGTACGATAAAACAGTCGGACGGGAAAAGGTTCGACAAAAGAGAAGGACGACAGAAACAGTCGTCTAACAAAGATGAGAAAAGAAAAGAGGTCTGGGCGGCTGATTCCTCTAAACAGCCGGCCCAGAAAAAGAAAAAAGAATTCAAACCATACTCCCCAAAGTATGCGTTTAACAAGGATAACCAGTTTATCCTAAAAGAAATCAAGGGACGGATCTCAATTGAGAAGCCGGTCCCCATGAAGGGTTCTGCAAACAACCGGAACCAAGATAAATTCTGTGCTTATCATGATTATGTTGGTCATCACACCAATGACTGCATCAGTCTCATGCGGTATCTAGACCGCCTGGCTGAGCAAGGGGATCTTGACACTTATGTCAAGAAATCTACGGGGAACATTTCCTCAAAAAAGCAGTCGGCAAAAAAGCATCAGCAGGCCGACAGCTCTGATACAGATGATGCAGTCGTCTACACCATTGCAGGCGGCTTCTCAGGAGGCGGCCCCACTATTAGGGGCAACAAAGATAATATAAGGCGGTTAGATGTAAATTCCGTTCACCAAGAACGGCCGTCCAAATATACATTTCCTGAGATTGTCATCACTGAAGAAGATCTAGGAGGGGTAAGGGGGCCGCATGACGACCCTCTCGTTATTGAATGTAAAGTGGCCAACCAGAGAGTTGGCCGAATCCTCATAGATACCAGAAAGTTGGCCGAATCCTCATAGATACCGGAAACTCGTCAGATCTCATCAGTAGCAAATGTCTGTCGAAGCTGAAATATCAGACTGATTGCATACATCCGGCCTCCCACCCTTTAGTAGGGTTTGGAGGAGGAGTCGTCCACCCACTGGGACGAGTAGATTTACCCATTCGCCTGGGCGAAAAAGGGGAAGGACGACACATGGTAGTCCGGTTCCTAGTAGTAGAGGAACTCTCGGCCTACAACATGATTCTGGGTCGACCAACCCTGAATAATTCCAAGGCTGTTATAATCCCGTCTCTTATGTTGCTCAAGTTTGAGAGGGATAATGGAACAGTCGGCTCCCTAAGGGGAGATCAGAGGATGGCCCGAGAGTGCTATCTCTCGGATGTCAAGCCCACTGTTATGGCCACTGGGTCAAGTGGTGAAAAAACAGACCTTGACAATGTCAAGGAGAGTGCGCCTGTTCAAGAAGCAGGCGGCAAAAA